TAGGTCAGGGATTCGGTCATCTGGATATTTTGGTTTTTTGGCTTTCGATTTCGTTGCGTTTGGGACTTCCATTTAAATCTTTTTGTTGGGTTGTCTGTTCATCTTTTTCTGATGTGTCTCCGTTTGTGGTCAGGGTTTTTTGGTTTGTCTTTGGTTTTGTTGGGCTTTTGTTTTGCGTCATCCCGTGGGTTTTGGGTTTACCCATTAGGCCTATGTTTGTTCTTGATGTGTTACTTTCAGCTAAGTCCATTGTTTTTGTTATTTGCCTGGCCAGTGTTTTGTCTCCTTTCGGGTTTGGGTGGATGCCGTCATTTGAATAGAGTTCCGCTCCGAATGTGCTGGTTATGTCTATGTAGTTCACATTCAACTGGTCGCACATGAATTTTAGTGCTTCGTTTAGTTGGTCGGTGTAGGTGTTTGGTACATCCGCTCTGTAGAGTAGACTATGTACGTACCATCTTGTGTCTTTGTGTAATTTTTAAGGCCTTTATGGTGAGCCAGTATGGTCTCATTAGATGATTAGGAGTAGTCGCTGTCGCTGCGTTGTTTGATCCTATATTTATTATGACTTTTGATGGGAGTTTGCTTCGTGAGCTGAGGTGTCTGCTAACGTCTGCAATTTTTCCACCAGGTATAATTTTGACGATGACATCTCGGATATCTGGGTTTATTTTGTGGACGGCTCCTCTGAGGATGGAGTCTCCTATGATTAGGGCTTTGTGCATATTTGTTTTTTCTGTTTTTTTATCGGTATGGTCTTGTAAGTTGGGTCTGGTGTTTGTTTCAGGAAGATTTGTTGTTTTTGCACTGTGATTTGTTTTTTCTAGTGAACCGCATACTTTATTGTAGTTTTCTATGTTTTTCTTGAAATTTGTGTCATCACTTCCGTGTTGTCTTGCAAGAGAATCGCTGTCAGAGGCTGTTTTGGCATCGTCTATCAAGTGTCCTTGTAGGGAACCCTTTGTAGTTTTGAGGATATTGTGTATAGTTGCCTCGAGTTTATAATTTATTTCTATTTTTTAGCTATGGTTTCAGATAATTTCGGAATGTCATTATTTTTTTCTTCTAGGCTGGTTTTTAAGGTTTTCATATCTTCCATCAAAATGTCAATGATTTGCTCATATTCCTTTATTTTATCTTCGTACATTGCAATAGTTTGATTCATTTTTTGTTCCGGGCTAGTTTCTTTTTCGGGTTCGATCATGGGTCTGTTCATGGAGTTGTTAATCTTCGGTCAAATTTTAAGACAGGTTTTACATGTCCAAGTCATGGGAAAATTGTCTTCTGTGATAGCTTTATATTTTTTTTTAGTTATCAAGGCACATTTTTTATGGTACCAGTCATCACACTCGCATGCCACTGCTTTGTCATTTTCATGAACAATTTGGTCACAGATTTTGCAGTATGCCTTTCTGGCAATGTCATTTTCGTCTGATATTTCATCAGGTTTTGTCATATTTTTTTTTTTGGTTAGGATTGATTTCAGGATTGGGGGGTTGATAGGGGGTCTTTGGTGTTGGTCGGTTTGGCGAGTGGTCCCTATCCTATCAATAGTCCTATCCCTACGTAGAAATACAAATGTTTTTTAACCTAGGCCTACTCATAAAAATAAAATTATAATAAAATAAATTCTACATAGCCTAAGTTACGGTAGTAGTTTTCTTTTTTGAAAAACTACCAAATTTTTGTTGTTAACTTATGTAGGCTACCAAATAATTGAATGCATCAAAAGAAAATAAATAGGATAAACTGCATAATAGAAAATAAAAGATCTTTCTGAAAATATTAATAGTTATATCTAGTTGAATTCTAACATTTCTGAGTAATTTACGTCAGAATGTAAAATTTTGAAGATTTTTTTAAGAAAACTTAATTTTTATGACATTTTCAAAACCAAATACAATTTTTACAATCATCCTCATAGATTCAGAGGGATTTGGAGGGAATTTATTATAGTTTTGGAATATGTAGGTAATAATATTATATACAATTTAATTTTCGATCGCCAAAAACAGTAGGCCTAGTTTTTGTAGTCAGGTGACCAAAACCTTCCACCGCCAAAATCTGTTTTGAACTCTCTAGTTTTTCAAACCATGTTTCTCGCTACATAATACTCGCTCAATACTGTTTTGTATATGAAAATGAATCCTCAGAATCTCATCTTTCTAATAGTATAAGATTCATTGTGATTTAATGATTGATAATAATTTAATAATATAAAAACCACATCCACATTGTCTTGGTCGATAATCAAACAGCGCCACTGAGGACTCGCTTTTTAGTGGTCGATAATCGACCAGCCCTAGATCTAGGGTTAAACCAAGGTTAAGTTAGGTTAGTATTAAGTTATTGACACATTTACCGGTTAAATGTGCCAATATTTAGTGATTTTTAACGCTTTTCACAATTTTCAATTGCGTATTTCAGGGTGAAATAAGTTAGGTGTTTGCCGAAAAACGGACTGAAAAAGAACTTTTAAGGCTAACTTAATGAGAAAAATACCATTTACTTAAAGTAAAAACAAGTTGGGTAAGTTTACAGTTTCTTAACTGGGCTATGCTAATACCGATTGAAACTGTCAATTTGATTAGTAAACCTTCATTCGATTTTGTTTACTAACTTATCAGCAAGTTTGGTTAGTTGGGTTAGGTTATAGCAGTTTAATTTTATAATTGATAGGGCCTATGGTAAAAATATCGATTAATAGACGTTATTTTCAATTCGATAGTTTCAATCAATATTAGCATCTAGCCCAGTTAAGAAACTCTACCCAAGAAGTTTTGCATGCGCCTAAATCAAGGATTTCTAGCATTTTTCTTCATTTTAAAATGCAATTGTCAGGGTGAAATATAGGTGTTTTTCTCAAAAGTGCCAAAGGTAAAAAGTGCTTAAAATAGGCTAATTTTGGAAGATAAGGCAAAAAAATGCAATGTAACATAAGTAGTATAAGCTCAGTTATTAGCCTACCATTCTTCCCATTGATAAGTTCTAGAGAGAATCTAATGGTACCAAAATAGCAAACAAAAATAAGTTAGCCTACTTAGGTTTGTATGAAAATGGAAAGAAAAATAATAGGCCTAGTTGAATCATGTCTACATCTTCTAACCTTTGTTTAGAAAATGTATTTTTTATCACTACATTCCCACCACACAGACAATTCAGTTTACTGAATAAACAGTAAACTTAGGTCTACTGCGGGTATACTTCCGTACTGTTGTCAAAAACAACTGAATGAAAATACTACTGATTATTCGATATATTGATTATTTCATTCGATATATTGAATAATCGATATATTGATCGATATTTTCATTCAGTTGTTTTTGACAACAGATACGGAAGTCTACCCTCTACCGCCTCCGCACAACTAAGCTACCCAATTACTTGACCACACCATTTCCTCCGAGTGTCCATAGTTTAGGCCTTAATGTCCTCCTATGTTTGGCTCATTTGCAAGGTTTTATTAAAACGGATCTGAAAAGCTTAAAACAATGTTAATTCTACTGTTCTATATACCATTTTGTTTGGAAAATCATGGGCTTCAATATCATACATAAAACCTAAGGAATATATCATAAGTAGTATAAGTTCAGTTTTACCAATTTTTTTAGGTAAAAATAAAAATTATTTTGGAAAAATTGAAAAAAAAATAAATAAGTTCACGCTCAATGAAATTGTATAAATTATAGGCCTATAAATATTTGAAAATAGCCACTTTGTTCTAAATTTTATGAGGATTACAAATATATAATAATATAAGGAAGTAGATTTGTAAATAAATAAGTTATGGGCAAAAAACAGATTTCAGTACATAGCGTTTAGCTAAGAATGCATAGCCTAACCATAGCTAGGAATCTGGCTGGTAATTTACATCAATATCACTACCTACTTCTTCAGGATCATCAACCAGCCCTTCAAAATCACTTAAATCTTCTTATAATGCACCACGTACCGGTATATCACTACTTTTGATTTTTAACACTAGAACAATGATAAACATAATAAAACACATCAGTCATCGGTCCGAGGTTAACTAACCTGTTTACAAATACGCACGTCAGCTGTCTGCTACAATTACGATCGGCTCGGAGAACATAAAGCGCTTAGAGACAGACCTCTGGAGAAAGCTTAGAATCTAATGAAAAGAACGATACCTAACTCGATCCTGTTCAATCCGATTTTGTCAGTCATAGAGCCTTCGCCGTAAACAGTGTTCGTGAGTCGCTGCAGCGACGCATGAAACTCGGAGGGTTAAGGGGTACAGTTTCTTAACTGGGCTAGGCCTATGCTTACATCGAATTGAAAATATTGATTAATAATCTATAGGCCTAGCCTATTTTTAAATAGGCGCCTATATCTATTATAAAATTAAACTATCATAACCTAACCTAACCAACCAAACTTGCTGATGGTGAAAAAATTGCATGAAGGTTACTAATCGAATCGATAGTTTCAATCGATATTAGCATAGCCCAGTTAAGAAACTGTACCCCATTTAACTTAAGGGTAGTTTGGTTCTGGTCTGTCACATTGTTTGAGCCTTATAAATGTGTAGGCTAACCTACAAAAAATTAAACGATAATAAAACCGGACTGAATAATCATTCTTGGGGTGACTAACGAGGTGAGGGTGACGTGACATAGGCTAACGATTTTTGGGGTGCACTAAGTTAGTAGGCTATACACAAGAAACAAGGACAGTAAGAGCCCAGGTTAGTTGCGTAAACCACGCTAAACAACAAAAACCACATTCATAAGTAAGCCTTCATAAATAGCATAGTCTAGCCTAGGCTAGTCTAGTTAAAGAAATAACTTAATATTAAAAATTGGTTAAGTTAAATAACTTATTAGGCTGGTAATGGAAACGATATGTCTAATGTACATTTCCTTTAAAGCTGGACAAAAAATAATAGGCCTAAATTGTAGATACCATATAATTGGATTTAGACTTAATTTTACGAGTATGCCTAAGTATTTGTTTAAAATAATTAACTAGCCTACCTTTCAGCACAGGGGGCAGTCGACCTGAAGTAATCACCATTGTTTATGCAAGTTTTGCAATAAAATACCTTTCTTGACTTGCAACAAAGTGGACATTCTTGAAGAGATGATGAAGAGGTAATATTACCATCTATAGACGAAGAATATAAATTAAAATCAACTTGCACGTTCCCACGAATAGGGGTTCCAATTGATGCCATAATAAATTATTGCTCTTATGAAAGTGAAGTAAATAAATAAACGATGGAGAAAAATATGTTTTTGTTTTTATGGTGATGATGTTATGCATCTATCTGGAGCAGACTAACAGAACGAAACAAAAACAGGTGATTCGCTGACAGACAGACAGACAAGGACAAGTGACATCGACAAAACAGTGACAGTTGACAGTTCTGTTGTTGTTGTTGTTGACCATTGAGATAAATAGCTCAGTCTCAGTCTGAATGTTGACAGTCCAGGGTCCAGTCCAGTCTACACAACTCACAAAACTGAAAATTGTACTAGGTGGCGTTCGCAGACGCTTCCACAAAATTGAGCGGAGTCATCAGTGCATATTGCCAAAATCCCTCTCCATTATTTTAGGCTTCAACATTATTTTTACCAACAATATCAAATAAAGAACAATTGTTGTAGAGATACATTTTAGAGTGATTAAAATAGTTTAAAACCCTTTCCACTCGGATTAGTTGACCCCTTGTTGTCCCATACGCTTGCATTTATTGCCATGCAAAAAAACATGTTTTAAGTTTTGTGTACATATACTGACTAAAATAAATTATTTGTTGTACTTGAGGGCTTGATTCTTATTCAGCATAAAATTGTACACAAGTAAAACAAAATATAAAAATAAATATACCCATAAAATATTTTTTGTGTGATCATAATATAAAAAAAAGCAAAATAAAATGTACAAAATATTTTTTGTGAGGCTTTTTAAAAAACGTTAACACATTTTCAGGATTTGTAAAACACTTTATCACCATTAGTTATCTAGTTGCCAATTCAAATCAGCCATTACAAGAAGGATTAGGTATATTTTTAATGAAAAAATGCATTTTCAAACTTAGATTTGTAATAGGAGGGTCAAATATTGTAAAGAGGAAGTGTTTGGCAATGTTGTGTGAGTAGGCTGGTAGTGTTGTTAAACAATAACTTGTTGTGCTGACCTACTGAAGGCTGTTGCTTTAAGTAGGCCAGTGCACTTGATCAAGGGGTCAGTTTTGGTGTGTAGTGTTTGTGTGGTGCACCTGAGGACGGGGTCCTGCTGGGGGAGCTGGAGCCCAAGGCCCTTGGCCTTGGGTCCAGGTAAGAAAATGTTAAGGGTTTTCAAAATTGGGGTTTAGAGTCTTTTCCAAATTGGGTTTTAAGTTCCTAACTCATTTATACAGTTCCAGTCTACTCTACCTTTTTGATTGTTAGTTGAGCTTTGTGTTCTTTGTGTTGTTTTGAGTAATTAATAAAGTTGGGTTTTGTAAACGAGTGCTGAGTTTCATTCCTGAGCTACGTCACCCAAAGTAACAGTAGGTATTCCAAGAGGAATACGACCGTTACAAGGTGATGGAAGTGCCGGGAGTTTTGTAATTTTTTACAAAACTTCGATCTTGGTACCTCTTAGAAAAATAATTGGCTTTAATTTTTGGGGTTCTAGTAATGTGAAAAGTTTGGTTTTTTTTAATATATTTTTTTTTATTATTTGTAATCATCACTTTGGTGCAGTTTTTATTCAGTTTTTTTGGGAGTTCAGTGGGTTTTGGGACAGCAGTGAACGGCTGGAATGTCGTAAATGTGAAGTTTTCCAGTGATATTTAGTGCGAGTTTATATGTCATGTGCGGGTTGCACGTGAGTTTGATATGTGTTCGTGTTCGGTTACACGAGTGTTCTATGCGTCATGTGTGGGTTGCACATGAGTTTGATATGTGTTTGTGTTCGGTTACACGAGTGTTCTATGTGTCATGTGCGGGTTGCATGTGAGTTTGATATGTGTTCATGTCGGTTACACGAGTATTCTATGCGTCATGTGCGGGTTGCACGTGAGTTCGATATGTGTTCGTGTTGGGTTACACGAGTGTTCTATGCGTCATGTGCGGGTTGCACGTGAGTTCGATATGTGTTCGTGTGGGTTACACGAGTGTTCTATGCGTCATGTGCGGGTTGCACGTGAGTTTGATATGTGTTCGTGTTGGGTTACACGAGTGTTCTATGCGTCATGTGCGGGTTGCACGTGTGTTCGATATGTGTTTGTGTTTGGTTACACGAGTGTTCTATGCGTCATGTGCGGGTTGCATGTGAGTTTGATATGTGTTCCTTGAGTTTATTGTGTGTCGTGTTTGGAAGCACGAGAGTTTTTGCGTTATGTGCTAAGTGCACATGGTTGTTAAGCGTTGCGTGCTGGATGCACGAGGTATTATGAGTTGTGCTGGATGCACAGGGTTTACTTTTGTTATGTGCTGGGAGCACAAGATGAATTTGTGTTACGTGCTGAGTGCACGAGGTACTTTTTTACTTTATGCTAAGTGCTAGCTGCACAAGGTTTTTATTTGTCCTGTGCTGGATGCACATGTGTAATGTGTGTTTCAGATGTTGTTTGCTGTGCACAAGTGTGTGTATTTGCCTGGTTAAATTTGTGTTGAATCTGGGATCTTGTAGTTCCCACGTTTCTTGATTATGTGATTCTGTGGTTGCAGACCTGCTATTTCTACTATAGAGTGTATATTGTGCGAATAATGTGGCGGACACATGTTGTCAAACTATTCTGTTTCAGCTCTTTATGCGCAGTAGATGCAGTGAATGGTGGATCAATATATTATATTTTGTAGAAGTAGTTTGAGGGATAATTATTCATAGTGTATTATGGTGTACTGTTTTAGAAATATATTTGAGCTTGAACTTTAATTTGATAGTAATATATTTTTTTCAGATGGGGATTTTTACAAATGGTTAATACTGTTAATGATTAGAGTAGGTGTTCATGTTGATATTTCAGAGTATAGCACGAGCAAAGTTGCGGTGAGAGAAGTCAGCATGTTTGTAGGCTGAGGAATGCTGAGTGTGGTGTAAATGGCCTCTCTGTGACCTGACCTTGCTGAGTGCTGACCGTGTTGTGTTACACTGTTTACCTTTTAATACTGATGCTCTAGAGTTTGCTTTGGGAAATCAGCAATGCATGAATGTTTTATTTTGGGAACAAATTTTTGTTTTTACAGGTGATAGATTGTTGGAGAAATTTTAAAAGGGAAATTGGTTTTGCTTACGGGTTAGTTTGTAACGATTTGGGCCCAAATCATTTTTTTTTTCAGCAATCATGTTTTTGAATTTTTATCAGAGAATTACACATGCAATTTTTCAAGTTCATTTTCTGAATTTATGTATTGCTTTTTAAGTTTTTGAAGTATGTGATTTAAAAATGTAGCCTACTGAAGTAAAATGTTTCACTTGTTTTAACACCAAAGCAAAGTAGGGAGTGATTTGAAATGTTTGTTTAACTATTATTTTTTATAGTAATAAATTTTAGTTGTGTTTTTAAAGATACTAAGGGAAATTGAATTTGATTCGGGAGATGATTTTGTTTTGTTAGGTAAGAGATAAATCGCATGACTCCCCGAAAATAACTGTATTGGGAAATAATGTTTTAAATGTTGCAATAGTGTCCTTTAGTGAATTTAATAGTCTCACAAAATTTAAAGACAAAGACGGATTATGTATTAAAAGAATATTTTATTAAGATATATTTTGTTGTTTAGATTTTTAATTATCAGGGACTTAAATGGGAGACAAATTGAATATTTTTGTTTATTCAGAATTAAATTAAATTATACTAGAAATGAAAGACTGTTCCATCATTTATTGTTTTAAATGCTTTGAAAAAGGTTATATTTGAAGAATTTAAAGTAAATCAATCTGAAATTATTTATAATGTTTTGTTGTTTAATCATAGAGGCCAATGATTTGTTAAGGTAACACATTCCAAACACTTCCCTTAGTTTCAATAATTTTTGTTTCAATTTTGGTTGTTTTGTTTTGTTCTTAATGTGAGTTTGAGAATTTCTTTAAAAGTCTAGGGTTTTTTTATAAATTATATGTTGTATTTGTTGTGAGTTATATGTTTGTATAGGCTTCCTATTTACCCATTCCCACTGACCAACTGTAGACAAGGCTACAAGAACTTCATGATTTGCCCTGTTATCTTCAACATTGTGATCGGAGGAAGAGACTTTGTCAAACTCAATGAAAACTGGGGAAACGCAGCTGGGGCAAGGGCTTTTAAGAAGAGGAGAACTTCAGGCTGCTGTACACTCAATCAATGGCAAAATCAGTCCAACATCATTGTCAACCAAAGTCGATTCATCATCAATGCTGTCAAGGAACGCTGGATGGACTACAGACTATAGACACCGAAGTGGGAGACATCGCAGAAGACATGGCTGTGGTCAAACATCTGAAGACCAACGACTGTTCGAGGAGGCTTTATCAACGCAACTGCTGAGGAGGTCAGCAAACAGTTGGTCAGTTCTTCCCCTCCTAAACCTTATTTTGATTTTGTTTAGGTACAATTTTAAAAGATTTTAATCAGTTTTTGTTATTAATTTTTTTTCTCTCTCTGAGTGGATGTATCTATGTAGTTGAGACGCTGGGGACATCGTCTGGAGGAAATGGGGGGATGTAATAGGAGGGTCAAATATTGTAAAGAGGAAGTGTTTGGCAATGTTGTGTGAGTAGGCTGGTAGTGTTGTTAAACAATAACTTGTTGTGCTGACCTACTGAAGGCTGTTGCTTTAAGTAGGCCAGTGCACTTGATCAAGGGGTCAGTTTTGGTGTGTAGTGTTTGTGTGGTGCACCTGAGGACGGGGTCCTGCTGGGGGAGCTGGAGCCCAAGGCCCTTGGCCTTGGGTCCAGGTAAGAAAATGTTAAGGGTTTTCAAAATTGGGGTTTAGAGTCTTTTCCAAATTGGGTTTTAAGTTCCTAACTCATTTATACAGTTCCAGTCTACTCTACCTTTTTGATTGTTAGTTGAGCTTTGTGTTCTTTGTGTTGTTTTGAGTAATTAATAAAGTTGGGTTTTGTAAACGAGTGCTGAGTTTCATTCCTGAGCTACGTCACCCAAAGTAACAGTAGGTATTCCAAGAGGAATACGACCGTTACAGATTTTTTGGTGATTTTGGTCGTCATGGTTACTATTTACACTTCTCTATTCTTTAATCCACAGCTGACTAAATAAACTTACAATTATTTTTCAAGCAACCAAAGACATGTAAAATGAATAAGGAAATCATTAAGTATGTATTCAATACAAATTCAAAACATGCAAACACTATATAAAAGGGATTTATTAATAAAAAGCCG